GCGTACGATTCCCCACCTGCCCTCCCCACTCTTTCCCCCTCCCCTGCCCCTCCCTCCCTCCCCTCCCTCCCCTCCCCGCGCGTGGTGAGGCCGCGGACGATATACGATGGAAAACTATATCTGATCAAGCGTCCATAATAGAAATATGTATTATCTATTATGCACTCTTTATTTTATATACATTTTCTATATCTATTAAACTATATTTTCATTTGCGGCGAAGTTTAAATCAGATTTTAAAAAAATAAAAAAATAAAAAAATAAAATAAAAAAATAAAATAATCGCGTTCGAAAATCTCAATCAATCCCCCTGATCGAATCAAGCCCATTCGAATCGAGTCGAGGTGACTAAGCAGCTGTAAAGATTTTACGTAAATGCAAAAACGTTGCAAAAAATCTATAATAAAAAAAAACATGAAATAATACGGGAATGTAAAGACGGTGATGGAACGGTCGACGAATCGGATCGTGCGAATCGCGCGCGAATTCAAAGACCATCCTCAGACAGTCAGACTTTGCTCGCTTGCAGACGGAGGTAAGATAGAGGTGTGGGACGTGTGCGGCGCCGGGGAGCGCGTGCATTCCATGACGGCCGGCGTCTGCGCTCTGACGGCCATGCAGGTACCGATGTACATTATTAAATTATATTATATTATTAAATATAAGCGACGACCATAATTTATAATAATGAATATAATCGATAATAGTTTTTAATAATGATTATTAATAGCTCTTGATAATATATATGCTATATATATATATTAAATTATAATCATATATTTATTGATAATTAATAATCATTACTATTCAACATCCTGACTAAGGAGTAGGTTAGACGCGATAGAGTGGTAGGTAATCTACTATATAGAGCGAGTAGATAGCAGCAGTAGCATATAGAGTAGCGAGTAGACTAAGAGTGAGGGGGAAGATAGAGAGATAGAGAGAGAAAGAGAGCAAGCGAGAGAGAGAGAGAGAGGGACAGTAACAGTCCTACAGGGAGACTTGCCTTCAGCAAGCGGCTCCGTGCGTTCTCGCTTTTTTCTTCGTCATCGTTCTCTCTGCTGTCGACCTCTCTCTCTTTCCACCTCTCCTACCAATGCCGGTACTAGTCAACGTTTCCGATGACGCCCCACGCCTCTCCCTCCCTCATGCCGACCTCTCCCTCTCCCTCCATCCAGACGACCTCTCCCTTTGCCTCCCTCCCGACGACCTCTCCCTCTCCCTACCTCCTGACACCCCCTCCCTCTGCCTCCCTCCCGACACCCCTTCCCTCTGCCTCCCTCCCTCTGCCTCCCTCCGACGACTCTCCCTCTCCCTCCCTCCCGACGCCCTCTCCCTCTCTCTCCCTCCCGACGCCCCCTCCCTCTCCTCCCTCTCAACGACCCCTCCCTCTCTCTCCCTCCCGACGACCTTCTCTCTCCCTCCATCCCGACGCCCCCTCCCCTCTCTGCCTCCCTCCGACGCCCTCTCCCTCTCTCTCCCTCCCGATTGCCCCTCCTCTCCCTCCCTTCCAACGACCCGCCTCCCTCCCTCCCGACGCCCCCTTCCTCTCCCTACCTTCCTTCTCTTGATCGTAATCTTCCTCCGTCGTAGGTGGAGGAGGACCGCCTGTACGCGGGCGCGGCGAACGGAGACATCTCCGTCTGGCAGCTCGGCGACGCCGCCCCGAAGCCGCTCTTCTGCTCGAGACAGCACGGGCGACGGTGGCGCCATCTCGTGGCAGCGGCGGGTACACTCGCTGGCGGTGCGCGGCGGCGCGGTTTACTACGGAGACGACGGCGAGAACGTGAAGGTCGTCGACTGGAAGAACGGTACGCAAGCGCGGCGCCGGCGAATGTTGCTTGTTGAATGTTGTTTTTTGTTGCATGGTGTTGTTGCTTGTTGTTCTGTTCTTGTTGTTGTATGTCGAGTTGGTTTTGTCGTATCTAGTTGTTGCTTGTTCAATGTTGTTGTGTTTGTTGCATGTTGTTGTTGCTTTTTGTTCTGTCTTGTTGTTGTATGTCGAGTGGTTTTGTTGTTGTATGTAGCTGTTGCTTGTTGAATGTTGTATGTTGCTGTTGCATATTTGTTGCTGCTTGTCATTGTTGAATCGGCCATTTTAGTCGGGCATCCTCGATGAATAAGGTGCATGTCTGAAAACTCACTTAAATAAATAAACGTATTTAAATAAATAAATAATTTGAATAATAATAAAATAATAATAGATAATTGGATATATAACAATAATAATACGTACTAATAATAATAACTCTTATAATTTATTTTACTACAAAACTATTTTAAAATTTAATATATATATCATCTAATATACCTAATATAACTCTTATATCATTTTATTTTACTACCAGAACTATTTTTAATTTAATAGATATCAAATACACCTAATATAACTCTTTTATAATTTATTTTACTACCAAACTATTTAAATTTAAACTAAAACCATATTATAACCGATACTCCTAACATAATAATACTCACTCATCTTTCTCTGGGCGCGATCACGACAGGCGCGGTCACGAAATTGCGGAACCATCCTTCAGAGGTCGGCGTCACCTACGCCCTGCACGCGAGCGACGCTCTCTTGTTTGCCTCGGGAATCGACCTTGACAGCGGTCAAGGTTACGTCAACGGTAAGAGTGCGCTCGCGACGCCGTCTCGAGGCTTCTTAATTCGATCCGCGCGCACGTGCCGCGTCGCATCGCATCTCTCGTGGCGAGCGACGCTCTATTGTTTGCCTCGGGAATCGACCTCGACAGCGGTCAAGGTCCCGTCAAGAGCGCGGGGCTTCTAAATTCGATCCGCATGCCTCGACACATGCGCGATCGCAAAATGTGTTTGGCAGCGGTGAATTCACTCGTGCGCGGGAGGTCGCGAAACTCTCGCGGACGCCAACGCACGAAGTAGGATGCCGATGGGGTGAAGGGGGTTGGGGCTAGAAGTTGAGCGCCCCTCCTAAACCGAGGAACTGTTGTTAGTGCCATCTAACGTTCTTAGTTAACTGTTCTTAGTGCCATCTAGCGTTCTTAGTTAACTGTCTTAGCTGCCATCTAGTTTTCTTCAGTTAACTGTTCTTGGTGCCATCTAGCGTTCTTAGGTTAACTTGTTCTTATAGTGCCATCTTAGTTTTCTTAGTTAACTGTTCTTAGTGCCATCTAGCGTTCTTAGTTAACTGTTCTTAGTGCCATCTAGCTTTCTTAGTTAACTGTTCTTAGTGCCATTTAGTGTTCTTAGTAACTGTTCTTAGTGCCATCTAGACGTTCTTAGTCGTGCCATCTAGCATTCTTAGTTAACTGTTCTTAGTGCCATCTAGCATTCTTAGTTAACTGTTCTTAGTGCCATCTAGCCCAACCAGGCTGTGTGACTAACGTCAATATACACACTTTAGAAGACTAGGGTCTTCTAACCCTACCAAAGACTGTTTCTTGGAGCTAAGTGCCATCTAGCGGTCTTAGTTACCTGTTCTTAGTGCTATCCAAGGCCTATAGATAAACACGTATTATCAACCCAAGAAGTTGCTGGCTGTTGCTAAGTAACAGCTGTAGTAAACATCGTGTGTACGTGCGTAGTTGAATCATAGATATGATATCTAGGCCTACTCCTGTACATTTTGAGGCACAGAAATTTCGGAAACTAGCTTGTTCACGAACGCAGCCATTGCGCGTGCATTGCCGCGCAGTGCGCGAATGAATAGTACATTTGTCGGCGACGGGATGGCGAGCTCGGATGGTAAAAGAGCATCTCTAGCCACAGGACATTTTTCCAGTGTCCGCAGGTGGCAGTACACCCCCCCCCTACAGTTTTCTCAACGGTTTTGAACGATTTGGAAAATTGATTATTTTCGAAAGTGAAAAATGCGCAGGGATCCGCGGGAGATTCTCATCTCTGTCCTGTTACGGTGAATGTTCAGTGATGAGTCACCGGCTTACCTAGCAATCTGTCAGTGGCCCTACTCAGACACTGTCACTGCCTATCATGCACCGACAATCGTCAATGGGGTGAAGGGGGTTTGGGCCAGCAGTTTCAATTAAGCCCCTCCTAGACTGCGAACGGTTCTTAGTGCCATCTAGCGAGAGAAAATGCTAAGTATTTTATCGTAGGTATTGTGCGACTTTAACGCCGTCGACTTAATCCGGAGGGGTGGGGGTGTTTTCTCGCTGCAGTGTGGGACCTGGCGGGAGAGCGGGAGCGGTACAGAGCGACGCTGCAGTGCGAGGACGTGGGCCGAGTGACGTGCCTCGCTGCCGTCGTGCGCGCGTCCGGTCGCCTGTGGCTCGCGAGCGGAGGGCAGGACCTGCTGCTGTGGAAGCAATCGACTAACACATAGCATACATCAGCTTAGCCTAGCTATAACGTAGTCTGCAATCGACTAACACATAGCATACATCAGCATTACCTAGCTATAACGTTAGTCTGCAATCGACTAACACATAGCATACATCAGCTTACCTAGCTATAACTAGTCTGCAAATCGACTAACACATAGCATACATCAGCTCTACCTAGCCTATAAGTAGTCTGCAATCGACCTAACACATAGCATACATCAGCTTATCTAGCTATAACGTAGTCTGCAATCGACTAACACATTGCATACATCAGCTTACCTAGCTATAACGTAGTCTGCAATCTCTAACACATAGCATACATCAGCTTACTAGCTATAACGTAGTCTGCAATCTACTAACACATAGCATACATCAGCTTATCTAGCTATAACGTAGTCTGCAATCACTAACACATAGCATACATCAGCTTACCTAGCTATAACGTACGTGTCTGCCAATCGACTAACACATAGCATACATCAGCTTACCTAGCTATAACGTAGTCTGCAATCTACTAACACATAGCATACATCAGCTTACCTAGCTATAACGTAGTCTGCAATCGACTAACACATAGCATACATCAGCTTACCTAGCTATAACGTACGTAGTCTGCAATCGACTAACACATAGCATACATCAGCTTATTTAGCTTAACGTAGTCTGCAATCTACCTAACACATGAGCATACATCAGCTTACCTAGCTATAACGTAGTCTGCAATCGACTAACACATAGCATACATCAGCTTACCTAGCTTATAACGTAGTCTGCAATCGACTAACACATAGCATACATCAGCTTGACCTAGCTATAACGCTAGGTCTGCAATCGACTAACACATAGCATACATCAGCTTACCTAGCTATAACGTAGTCTGCAATCGACTAACACATAGCATACATCAGCTTATCTAGCTATAACGTAGTCTGCAATCGACTAACACATAGCATACATCAGCTTACCTAGCTATAACGTAGTCTGCAATCTACTAACACATAGCATACATCAGCTTATCTAGCTATAACGTAGTCTGCAATCTACTAACACATAGCATACATCAGCTTACTAGCTATAACGTAGTCTGCAATCACTAACACATAGCATACATCAGCTTACCTAGCTATAACGTAGTCTGCAATCGACTAACACATAGCATACATCAGCTTACCTAGCTATAACGTAGCTCTGCAATCTACTAACACATAGCATACATCAGCTACCTAGCTATAACGTAGTCTGCAATCTACTAACACATAGCATACATCAGCTTACCTAGCTATAACGTGAGTCTGCAATCTACTAACACATAGCATACATCAGCTTACCTAGCTATAACGTAGTCTGCAATCGACTAACACATAGCATACGTCAGCTTACCTAGCTATAACGTAGTCTGCTAATCGACTAACACATAGCAATACATCAGCTTACCTAGCTATAACGTAGTCTGAATCTACTAACACATAGCATACATCAGCTAACCTAGCTATAACGCAGTCTGCAATCGACTAACACATAGCATAATTTTATGCAGCTTGCCTGTTAAGACTAAGGGTGGGATATCTCTAACTAACGCGCACGACTGTCAACTCTTCCCGCCGCAGGCCAGACCGACGACGACGACGACTTGACGGCGACGACGACGTACGATCGCCGCTTCCTGAAGCGGTCGTTGATTTCGACTGAAGAGCTCTCCTCCCCGACGACGACGACGAGGATGCTGCGATCGCAGAGCGGAGGGATGCTGCCGCGGCAACGCGGTGGTGCACCGTTCTGTGAGCGACGCCCCTCCCCTGCACGAGCGTGCGTGCCCACGAAGTCCTCTCCCCATCACCCAGAAGAGGCGGGAGATGCTGCCAACCTCTCCGAAAGCGACACAGGTGCGACGCAGGTGCGACACAGGGAGTGCTTCAGACTTTTTTTGTCGAGTTTGATCGTCGAACGACCGCCGTGCGATTCCAACGGTGGTAGTGAGGGGATCCTACTCACGATCGTCGTTCCACGCGCGCGTCCGTAATCGCAGTATATGTTGTCGGTAAATAAAACTGTGGTTATAAGATATATATATACATATATCAAGATATATAATATATATATATACAGATATATATATATATACATATATTATGGTATATATTGGTTTCCCGCACAAAGAGCGGTAACCGGTTGTGAATCGTCAAGTAGATGTAGCGTTAGAGGGGCGGTAGTAGCGCAAGAGAGGCATCGTTCGTTTACTCGTTACTCGAGGATTTTCGCACGCAAGCGTATGCGATGTGGCTCTATAGTAAGATTTGAGAAAAACGCACCACGCATGTCTTTTATCGTGACTAATGACTATTTCATAATGACTAATTCATGGTATCAAGAGTGCATTAATATATATATATATATATATATATATATATATGAATAAGAGAGAGAGAGAGAGAGAGAGAGAGAGAGATATATATATATATATATATACTATAATATATATTATTTTGTAGATCTAATAGTCTATATTATACATTCCTGATACTATCTCTAGTGACTCTGCATCTATATGCGGCGTTCGTTAACGGTGATGGCTGTACTAATGATCTCACGACCTGTAAATATAAAATAGCGTACGAACGCGATCGATGTGGTTCGAACGTTGTAACATTCGAGGGATTCCTGGAATAAAAATTGCCAAAATTTTTCCCTATTGCACGACTTCACTGTAAACGTATTGTATCGTATCGTATTGTACGTATCATGGGGTTACAGCGTACATGACCGTTGTTTGGTTGTTGGTTTATTCTCGAAAGAATACACGTTTCAATTATTCCTGTAAATGTACCCATCTATATACAGTGTGGCCCCGTTATAACGCGATCGCTGAGGTCCATAAAATGTCATCGCGAAAAAAGCGGCGGTTGCGCGAAATCGTGGTTCAAGAAAATCGCGTAATAAACTGTATGCATAACATACGCAACATGCACACAGCAACAACTCATGTAAACTCGTTTAGTCGCGATCTATGGGAGATCGTCAATCGGCTAAGGCAGGCTTAACTCACCAAAAAACTTTTTCAGTTCTGGAAAGAGTAACAAGTGCCGCGGAGCGACAGCGCTCATCTAACGTCTACTGCGCGTGACTCTGTGGTGGAGTGGTGGGATTCTAGTAAACCCTGTTAGTCCCAAATGTGTTCACATACACGCCGAAACAGTGGAATGCACAGGATGGTATCAAAAACCTTCTCAAAGGAATGTTTGTTGGGATCGTTTATGAAAGTTGCACGAGATGGCGCGTACGTTTAAGTGTCTTCAGATTAAAGATGGAAGCTCCCATCGTATGTAGTAGCAACAACTATTTTGCAAGACAGAATAGGTAAGCACTCATCCATTTACCTACGCAAGCCTACAGGCTGCAATAGAGAGCTGCCACATGTGATCTAAACCGCAGGCAAAAACTACACAGCCACCACCACATGCACTGGCAGTGGCCACTGGCAGTGGATACGTTACATGTAAATATACTGACAGTACAGAATGCCATAGAAATTATAGGAATTTTAAGAGCATAAACCTTCTTCAACCAAATTTAGCTTTGAAATTTCACTGTGACATTGTAGCCTCGTACATCCAGGCATGTATAGATTCTACTAGCAAACCCGGCAGTCAAATTCTTTCTAACAGACAGTAACAAATCCATGTTTAACCCTCCTCTTGAGGGTCAAAAGGTTATCCGACACTTACTCTTCGCATGTCAGCAGAAGGGACATTTCATGGTCCTTTCAATAAAGCCATAAAAATGCTAGGTCACCGCTGAAACAAAAAAGTTTTCCAATCGCTCCGTCACACCATGTCCTCAGAAAATGTCTAAAATCTGCCCTGTGCCCATTGACCTTTGACCCGTGACCTCCAATTTCAGCACAGTGATGGCTTTTCCTACCATGATGCTATACACCGACTATCACGAGCCTAGGTCGAGCCGTTTAGATTTGTGCCGCAATTCTGCATTTCCTCCCTATACCTTAAGTTAAGGAGTGAATGTTCCCCCTTCTTTTACACCTCTTGACCTTTGACCTTTGACCCCCCAGCTTCGACATCCCAACTCATTTTGCGATCCCCCCCGATGTGCCGATATCGTGACCGTACGTCGAGCGTTAAGATTTGTGCCACACTGTTGACGGACGCACGGACGGACGATCGTGCGATTCTACAAGCTGCATCTGACTATGTCAGATGAGCTAAAAAAAAAAAAAGGTTCAACGACTCATCGCGTTATATCCGAATTCGCGTTAAATCGGGGCCCGTGAAATCTGGGTTTCACTGTAACTGTATAATATATATATATATATCTATATATATAAAGTTGTTCAGCCGAATTTGTATGTTCGTGCATAACTAGAGAATTCCGCAGCCTAGAGGAAAAACTAAATATATTTTCAGACGTCTGGGAGGTGGTTCTGCCTGAAACAAAATTTCAAAAAAGTTAAAAAGTTAAAAATTTATAAAAATTCTATTCATCAATAGATGGCGTACATTTTAACATTATACATCACGTACCTGTGAATCCATGGTGTATAACCATAACGGACATAACAGGACCAGACACACTTTCCATTGCAGCCGAATGGATAAAGCATCGGACTCCTAAACCATTGATTCTGGGTTCGAATCTCACCTCGGGAAATGCTTTGTTTCTTTACTTTTGGACTGTTTAGTATGTACTTCTGCCGTAGGGGCCTATTCATCGTTAATTTCAAAATTTAATTTTTTACCACATTTAAACGTTTAGTAAAAATCCAGAATAAACTATGGTGGATGATAATGATAGCGCAAAACTAACGGGAACACTTCACGGAAGCCTATGTAGGTTACATATCAAATATTATTATATTTTCTATATAATTTCATTTTATTATTTATAATTTTTGACTTTTTCATTTTAATGACTTTTATCTTTTGATTTCTTATTATTTTTTTACTGTTGGGATGGTGTGGATGA